TACAATCATGTCCATCAGATTCAGGTAAGTCTGTAATCATGTCGTAGCAGACATCAACCCATGGGCCTATCGGAACCGGTAGGGGTTGAAGGCTCCCAAATGGCTTGCAGGTTCGTGGCTTAACCCTCTGACACGACTGGCATCCATCAACATATTTGTTAATATACGATTTCATTGAAGGCCAATAGAAGTTCCTCTTCACCAGCATTAGTGTGCGCATTCGTCCCGGATGGCCTGCGATTTTGCTTGAATGTCGAGATTTCAAAATTTGTAATTTCAAGTCATTGTCGTCTGGAATAACCAACTTGTCACGATAGTAAAGAGCTTCATCCTCTAATTTGTAATCTTCTATCAGTCTAGATGTTGGCATTTCCCGGCATAAATCACTAAGCTGTTGAATCCTTTTATCATTCTTCGAACTTTCTTTTGTCACCCGAAGTATATGACCGTCACTCCATATGTCATCACTCGACTCTAGCTCTTCTATTTCCATGCTTAAATCATCCAGTTCCATTTCGATTTCTGGCTCTTTTTCAATCCACCAGTCCATACAGTCTAATGAGTCAATGAACGCATCATTTGGTAAGTTCTCTGGTTTCAGCAATTGACCAAAAGTGAGTTTTTCACCATCCGCTGGCTTTAGATCTGGCCTTCTTGACAACGCATCCGGTTTCGTAGATTGTTTCCCAGGACGAAATCGGATTTCAAAGTCGAAGCTTCCCAGAATTTCTGCCCATCTCGCTTGACGTCTAGTTAATTCTTTTGTTGTCATAAGGGATTGGAGATTTTTGTGGTCCGTATATACTGTGACGTTCAGACGGTTTGGATTACCCTCCAGGTACTGTCGCCACTCCTTAAAGGCCGATACTACTGCTAGAAGCTCTTTATCAAAGATCTCATAATTTCTTTCAGCTTTGATAAGAGAGCGAGACAGGAAAGCTACTGGATGGAGTTCGTTGTCGGCCATAGAGACTTGTGAAAGAACTGCACCGAGGGCATAATCTGAACAGTCGCATTCTAGCACGAATGGTCGGTAAGGATCCGCAATCGTCAAAACCGGAGCTGTCGTAAAAGCCAATTTCAAACTATCAAATGCCTCCTCACGCTCCATTGTCCAGTCAAATTTAACATTGTCCTGTGATAATTTGTGTAGGGGACGTGCTATCTTAGAGAAGTGACTTATGAACCGACGATAAAAGTTGGCAAATCCTAAAAAGGTTTGAACTTCGGATAGATTCTTTGGCGAAGGCCAGTCTCGTACTGCTTTTACTTTAGTTTCATCCATTTTAATTTGATTCTTTGATATAACCAATCCAAGGTAAGAGATTTCTCGCTGAGAGAACTTGCACTTCTCAGGCTTGAGCCAAACATTCTGTGCACGCAGTATGTCGAGGACTTCTTTAACCACCTTCTTATGATCAACTCCTGATTTCGTGTAAATTAATATATCATCTTGATATGCCGCCACATCCTTCCCTATACGAGACTTGAGCACATCTTGTATAAAGAACTGGAAAAATCCTGGAGCGCCTGTGGGTCCAAAGGGCATCGTAAGTGGTTCAAACTGGCCTTCTTTGCATATAAAAGCTAATTTCGCCTCATCTCCTTCACGCACTCTTAGATTATTATATCCATTTCTCATATCCAAACTAGTATACTCATCAGCATCTAATAAACTGTCTATAAGTTACATAGTAAGCGGTAAAGGATATTTGTTCTTTATTGTGACTGAATTTAATTTTCGATAATCAAAGCAGGGTCTAAGATTTCCATCTTTCTTTCCCGTGAATAGGACTGGTGCCGCCCACGGAGAAGTGGTCCTTCGTATCGTACCATTGCTCAAGCCTTTTTCCAACATTTCATGTAAAACTTCAGTCTCCTTTGGTGATAACGGAATGATTCGTCCTGCTTGGGGTGTTGCTCCTGGTACCAGGTCTACTCTGAAGTCGTAAGGCCGACGGGGTGGAAGTACGTTGGATTTAGACTTCTCGAACATTTCCAAATAGTCATGGTAGCAATTCGGTACTAATTCAGCAGCTGTCTTCTCCACCTTTCCTTTTGACGCTTCAACCGCTAGTCTAGTCAAAACATTCCATGCATCAATTGCCGAAGTCTTGAGTTGTTTTGGTCGAAGGCCTTGTCCTATTCGTCGTAAGTAGCTCGTACCTGTTGTAGCATATCTTACACAAGGAGGTACTTGCTTGCCAGCGTTTCCAACGAATAAAGGAGTTTGGGTAATATTGGACTTACTCTGCGGGGGTTTAAACGAGTTCATCAACTCAACCCCCTTCTCAACGATCCTAGCTTGCCCCTCAGGCCTCATTTCGTGGTTCATTGGGGCTTTGGTCGGTTGTTGAGATTGCAGACTAGGTTTTCCTACTTCCGGTTGTCGTGTTTCGGTTTTGAAACTAGGTTCTAGGAGAGAATGATACTCGCCAGCTGTTTCTTTAAGAGACTTGGACGGTACAGAAACAGACTCACATTGCGGGGGTGTAAATGAGTTAAAAACTCCCACCCCCTCGTCACTGTTCCTAGCTGTCCCCTTAGGCCTCAATTCGTGGTCCTTCGAGGTTTTGTCTGGCAGTGACGAAGTTGACACAGCAACTGCAATTTCGGTGAGTTTTTCTTCAAATAGTCGTCCATTTGCCCAGTCAATACAAGTGTGATTTCTCTTGATCCAGGGCATCCCGAGTATAATGTCGTACTTATCCCTAAGGTCAGTGACTATAAAGGTAGTTTCCACCTCTTGATTGTTGACACAGTAATCACCGGTGTGCGTGATCACAGATTCATGTCCGCTAAAACCTGTGACGCTCCGTCTCTCAGGCAAAGGACTCGTCTCGAACTGTGATTGAGACACATACTTGCTACTCACAGCTTCGTGAGTGGCACCGCTGTCGATTAGAGCTCGCGCTGATTTTGTTGTGGCAGATTTTGGGTCAAATAATGAAACGGGGGCAATGATGCGAGTATCCTTCATTTCAAGACTAGCAATAACATCATGAATTTCATTTTCATTTGACTCCAAAGTAAGTTTGCTCAAGTGAGGCACAACCTTCACACTCGAGCACCGCCATTTTTTGAACTTTCAGCTCGACTTTGCTCTTCAACTCCTTTTCCCTTATCACTACTTCCAGACTTAGCATCTAATTCATCTAATCTTGATTTTAAACGACTCTCCAACTCATGAATTCTACTGTATGACGAACCTCCAGCATAGCTTTGATTTCCTCTATAAAACCCTCTTCCGCCTCCTGAACCTCTTCCAAATCCTCCAAATCCTCCTCTACTTCTCCTCGCTCTCATAGGACAATCAGCTATCAAGTGATCCAGCTTTCCACAACTATAACACGCCCCTGTCGTACCCCTTCGTTTATACTCATCAGACGAGATGTTCATGCGGTAAGCGGAGCAATCCATCGCATCTGGATCTAACGCTGCAGAAGTCGACGACGTTGATGTTGACAGACCTTGAGCTACTTGATTATCCCCACGATTATGTAATTTGTTGTCCAGCCTAATTGCTACTCGTGCCATCTCCTCCACCTTTGTAAACACATCCCTGACCATATAGATCGAAATTTCCTTCTTCAGACCTTGTTCGAAGTGTGACATTAAAACATCTTCTGACCACTTAACTACCAAAGACAGCTCTGAAAACCTGATCCAGTACTCTGAGACAGACTTGATCTGTTTAAGAGCTCTGATATCACGTTGAGCATTGGCGATTCGTTCACTATCAAAAAATGTTGCCTTGAACGACTCAATGAAATCCTTCCAAGTAACTTCGGAGCATCTGTCGACATCTAGCAGCTGATCCGTGAACCGTTGACCCCATATGTTCGCTTTGCCAGTGGTGTAAGATAGGGCAAATGCCACCCGAGCTTGATCATTCGCAAACATTGACGAGTTCAATTGAATGTACAGGCCTAGTTGGTTCAGAAAGATTTCCGCTTTAGAGCCCTTTGATCCATCGAACTTGTCCGGGGTCGCCACTTTAGGAGTCTTCGGATTTACATTTTGGGGTGGCTGTTGAGGTTGACTAGGCTGTTGTGGCACCGGGTTGTTTTGCTGAGCTTGTCTCATTACATTCAATTCAGTTTCAGCCGCTTGTCGCAGGTTTGTTTCATTCGTTAATCTGGCATTGAGTTCGGCTAATTGCCTCATTACTTCCTCCATAGTGATCGACGAAGCCATTTCTGTAAGTTGCTCTTGAGTTTCGGCGTAGTTGTCTTCTGATGAATTCTCGTTGATGTGATTTTCACTCTCCTTCGATGAGGCAGAGTCTTCTTCTGGGATTCTAAAATTAGGCGTGGTGGCGGAGGGATGAGGCTTTAAGTTTGTGGGGTAGTAGTACTGTTCGATTGTCTGACTTCGATATCGTAGATTTCACTTGGATTCAGATCACTAGATGTGGTTGTATTGAGCTATAATCTTCAAACTTCTGATCACTTCTTGAACTTTAAGACTTCTAACTTTGAGATTTCTTTGAACTTTGAATTTCTAAACTTCCTTCGACTTGCTTCTTTACTTTGATACGTTCGACTTTAATGTTTTCAATTTGCTGCTATCCCATGATAGACGTTGTAATATGTAAGGATCCGATAGGCTCTTGAAGGATAGCAGCTAAAGTCTATGTGATGCTGATAACAAGATTGCAACGTGAAGAAGAAAGACTAAAGGGTCCCTCCTCTCACTCATAGAGTACTATACGTAGATTGTACAATACAAGCATAAACCCTCAGTATTAGGATCATTACAAAAAGCAGCATCAAAAGAGAACAAGACAGATGAGATGCACAATTGCTTATCTGCTGAAGTGAGATACAGCCTGTACCTTTGTTAATCCTTGAGCCCTTTTTGCATCAGAGAGGAAAACTCAAATCTCACAGCCCCAAGTCGTCTTGCAAGTCGTTCACCAGCTTCAGTCATGCCAATTTTCAATATCTGCTCTGTACTCTTTAAAATTGACATGAGTTCCTACAATAACTCTGGGAAAATTATGATAGAACAAACATGTTATAAGACTTCAGTGTCAGACTGAAGGGCAAGTGGAGGAAAATGATTTGGGAAACAACTTCAGGGAACCACTTTGCCTTGGCATGCTGAAACATAGCAGGGATAGTGATTGAGAACCAAACTGAGAAGACATGTGTTTGGAGATATGATAACGGCCTTGACTCATTCTAACTTTTCTTGTCTGGTAGTATCAGTAGATCACAGGTTTTGTGGAAGTGTCTTCCCAGATTTTGGTGGTGCCATTTTGGTGTGCAAAGGTGGAACCCCCTCTCCCCGGATCAGAGTAAAGTATATGACAAAGGTGGCGATCAAGAGGGGAGAACAAGCAAATGTGTCATAAAAACAAAGGGGAATTGGGAACAGTTGAAGATTGCAACAGTATGAAGGTGAGAATGAAGTTTTAGGTGAAGTTAGGCAACGCAAGAGGACAACAAACAAAAATGGTGGTGGAGAAAAAAAACTTAGCAAAGTTCAACCAAACCCGCCAAAGCTCAAGCTCCTCCAGCAAACCCCCTCCTTGTGAAGACTGGAAAAACACAGACTCCAAAATTCATCAAGTGTTGTCCAACTGCAAACATCTGATCAATCCAAGTGTTAACAAACAATCTACAATTATCTGAGCACAAAAAAGGATCTAACATATGGAAGCAGTCTCCCTTTGCCTGCAAAATCCAAAGACCAGCAACCACAAAGGTGTCAAAGCAAACTTATGCATATTATTCAACAGTGTCCTTTACACCCAAAGCTGGTGCCACACAACCAGATTTGTGTGTGCCAGGATTTGTCTCGGAATTTTGGCTTTGATGAAGGATCCCACTATTTCTCGCCCCCTTTCCAAGTACCTGTCGCCCCCTTGATTTGGGGCATTACCTGGGATACCCGAAGTAACCCGAGCAACTCCAGCCAAATTTTTGGTGAGTCGGACTGCTGGGGCGATTAGGGGCTACCACCTCTGGCAGTTTCTCACAAGAGACACCCATATTCGCCCCTATTTGTCCTACTATGTGCCCCTTTTTATATAAAGAGGCGCAAAAAACAACATCGCCTCATTACAAGGGGCGCACACCACATCACAAGAAACAAAAAGGGGCGAACACTCCTTGTAAACCCGCACCGTCCCCCTCTCTCTTCGTCCTTTGTCGTCTTCCTTCCATCCACATGCTCAAAGTTCAATACACTCCACGCTCTTTCCCCACAACTTTAATTCCCCCACAACACCACAACAATTCAATCAACCTTGCAAATCTTCGTTTCAATAGCCAGAAGCGTTAGAGATGTCCACTGCTCCACAACCACCTGCCCCACTTCGGATGTTCACACCGGAAGTACCAAACCAACCTATTCCAAATCTTCATCATGCGCCTTATCATCTTCCCACCCAACCCAATTCAAATCTTCAACC